TTCTAGAGAATAAGTGATCTTTTTTTTAATTGTATAGTTATTTAAGGTTGTGCTTTATCTAAAAGTTTTTGTGAACTTAAGTGTGGGAGCTATTGGAAGATGTGCTAGTGACTTATTAATTTACATAAGCTTTTTAATTTTTCAGATGACTGCCATAAAGGAAGCTCTTACAAGATTTTATGGTGTAATGCCAAAGATCCAGTGTCTTCCTCCAGAAGAGGTAAAAACCCGAAACACACACGTTCCCCATACCCCCTCAAAACTGAAAACCACAGAAAAAAACAACTAACCAAAAACCTCTTTTTTTTTTTTTTAAGAGCACTTTTTATCAGAAAAACAAAAGCAATAAATAAGCTTATGTTACTCTTGCCACAGCCTTTTCTTAATGCAGAGATATTGTTAGTGGAGGAAGTGTCCATGCTTTACCTAGTAACTTTGCTATTAGTATACTTACCCAGAAAGTTGGAGTGCTGGGTTTCAAAGGTCTCTGTCTTAAAAGATTTGGACCTGCATCTCTTGCATGAATGCTGTAACCACCATGCTAGACACATTGCTGTAACTGAGTACTTTCCACTCTTCCTCCTAAAGCTTAATTGCCATGTAGCAAATTACTAGAACCAACAAGAGTGAGCTGAATAGAGCCAGTGACTGTCAGCCTTGACGAGGGTACTGCCTGTCAACAGCAGTCTTCCCTTCACTGCGCATGGCTCGTGTTCTGCATGAAGAAGTTACTCAATGGACAGAATCCTTCAGAAATAAAGCAGCTCAGAGGCTTGTCTCTGAGGTTGTTCTCAAAAGCCCGTATCTGAAGAGGTAACAAAAAGGCATTCTGAGCTTCACTGTGGTTCAGGATGACTATAGTCTTTCCTTTTGAGCCAACAGTGTCTAAAATTTCCATTTCTTTTTACTTTTCTTTGCCAACAATTGTACTGTGAATCATGATGCAGTGGTGAATTGTGGTACACAGAGACAGTGTGCTGTGGTCTAAAATACAGGTCACCATATCTGAACCAAAAATGCCTTTGAAGGAACAAAATAGTATTCTGAACAATTACATGGGTAGGCTGCATATCTGTTTGTTTCCTTTTTTAGCTAGGTTACTCTGCTTTTATTTAAAAATAAAACAAAAAAACAAACCCACAAGAAAGCTTTCCCTCTTGTAAGTGGTTCCTTATTATCTCAGCTTGATAAAAGTGGTTTACTGCAAAACACTTGGAAGACTTATTGCCCATACGCAGATGACAATTTTATGAAAACTTGCCAAGATAGAGTTGTTCCTGGAGTTTATTCGCTTGTGTGTTGTCAGTTCCTTTGCTTTAGTAGTGCTCTGAGGTTTTTATACTCAGATGTTTCTTCATGTGAAAAAGAATTCTAGGTTGCAATATTTTTAAAATGTATTTTTAAGTTACTTTATGCAACAAAGGGTTATGAGTTGAATCTGGGTAGCACACACACACCTCTTGGTGTTGAAGAAATACAGAGCTAACAGAAACGCCAGTTTCTAGCTGTGTTCACTGTAGTTCTGCTATTGCTTTTAGTACAGTTGGGATACTGCTCAAATTATGTGAAAGTAATTTACAGTTTGAGTCTCCTGTGCTTAACAGTTGAAGCTAATGGATAATAGAAAGGAAAAAGTACACCCCAGTTATTTAAAGATAGCTCTTTTCAGAGTTCCAGCTTTGTCGATGCCTGAAGTGCATTATGGAGGTACTTTGATGTTTAAAATGTATTACACACAAAAAAACCCCCAAGCTCCACAACCAAAAAAACTTCCAAAACCAAAGCAACAACAAAAAAAGCCGCCACCACAGTTATTTTTGTCTTGTACATACATTTTTGTCCTGCTTAGTGGTTTCAAAACCAATTTTTTTCCACATGCACTTTGTCACACCTGAGCATTTTGGGCGATTTTCATATAATCCCCACATAAAAGGCTTCTATGCCTGCCTGCCGTATTCATGGCCAATGTTTTTTCTTCCTTCCTGTTGTCCAAAAATGACATTTCTGCTACTTTTGACAGCTTGCTTCTGTATTCCTTTCAGTAAAAGCTATTATAAAACCAATTTTCTTTTCTCCTTTTTGAATAATTTGCTTTGCCTCCATTCCCAACCTGCTACAAAAGAATTGTTGAAAGATAGCTTTCAGGTTACACATACCCTTCAATATTCACAGAGTTCAGCCAGAGCTCATCACTAAGGTGAACAGCTTCTGTGTATTGGTCAGGTTTGGTAAATGCTAAGATAGTCCGTGTCATAGCATTTCATAATGAGACTTACTAGTTCGGCAGATTCTCCAAATTGTTACTGAATTATGCTGTTGGAATGTGTTTCCTTGTCTGCTTGCTCCTTAAAGACAAGTATGTACTATAAGCTGTTCAGAGTGGATGCCTCTGGTACCTGTCTCCTTTGCATTTTTCAAGTGGCAAATATAAGCACTACTGTATTCTGTAGATAAAGCAATATGTATGTGAAGAATTGGTTTATTTTCTTCTCCCATTAAGCTGATCTCATCCCTCATGTTTCTAGGGTGAAAAAGCACAAACGATTGGTCAGATAGAATTCTGCTTCACCAAAGAACTGCAGCTGAGAAACTGCACAGCGCTGAAGGGTGAATCCGACCCACTGCAGGCTCACTTGAAGCTTGGAACTGAGGAGTTGTCTGTCTGCAGTGATACTCTCCCAACCTATTATCCTTCACAGGTCCAAGATCACAAATGAAGCCATAAGAGTTTGAAAAGCTTTTTAAACAGCAACAAAAACAAAACCCTTAAACATTATTAACTTGGAAAGTAGTCTTGACTTAGGAGTATTACAAAGCCCTGTCCATATCACAGGCATGCCGTGAAGATTTCTGCTGGAAAACACGCTTCTTTTGCCATTAAAGGAGAATGGACCACATTGTAATATCAGTTACACAGGCTGAAGTATTGAATTGTGACTCTGATATTGATGGGATCAGAATCTGATTCACAGCTTTGCCTGGACTTCTTGGCTTGCTTATGGTTTGAATCAATGTTCAAAATAGAACTGTGACTTCTTAGTTTCACTTGCAGTTAAGTCTGCCACTTTAGCCATTTTTGGTTTTCACCAGTGAGTCAGGGAAATTAAGTAATTCTTCGTTTTCAAAGGCTGCTTCTCTCTCTGAGGTGAGATGACAAGAAAATATTGTAAACAAAAACACCTGTCTGGAAGTCCTTTCCTAGGTGTAATACCTGTTGCCTGGCGTAAATTTGCTCTCTAGAAGTGATGAATAGAGGCCACATCCTCTGAGGCATTAAATCTTTCGTCACTCGGAGATCACGGTAGACCAAAGATAGCAACTTTTGCATGATTTCTTAGTGAATGAAATATTTTCACTAGGTTTTGGCACTTCTGCCTAAAGGACCGCAGGAAGACTGTATTTGTAGCCTTACCTATTCTTTGATTTTGCTATAGTAGCTCCATACAGTTTTGAAGAACAACCAACCTTGGAACTAACTTGCTAGTATAGGAAAATGTTGGGCCCTAGAAATATGTTGTTACTAACTTTTCATTGTATTTGAACATTTAGCATTATGACACAATTGTGAGTGCCTGCACTTTTATTTAAAAATGAGATTGTCACATAACCAAGTTGTTCCAAGAAACAGCTTTTTACAAGTGAAACAGTAAATACTACAGTATTTTCAGTGAAAATTACAAATGTTAGCAACACTGCATCTCTATCCCATAATAATAACATGCCACAAAGTTCCATGTTTCCAAAGGAGACCAAATTTGCATTACATCCTGTACACAGTGCTGTGTTGGTGTGTCTCAAATTGTCTTTCAGAAACAGACAATTATGGCTCAAGGAATCATTTGTTGGAAGAATATTACGGTGAAAACGTGAAATGCAGTATTAGGAACACATTTATTATGTTTTTTTGGGTTTAGAAACTTTACATTTACTCTCATTTTTTACTGTCCCTGTTTCTCTACCACATTTCATTTAAGGCTCTCTTACCTTGCAGTTCTAGAATGCTGTCAGTTTTTCAGTCCTTTCTTTAGAAACTGAGGTATTCATTTTAACAGCTAAGAAATTAGTACAAACTGCATTCTGTATCTGTGTTTCAGTAGAACGATGGCTTCTCTTTCAAAATTTGTCTTCCTTCCTGAGAGGGGGAATATACTAATGTATACTAATAGTATATTGGTATACTAATGGTAATCAGATCTAGTGTTTTTGTAGTAGCTATGGCATAGTCAGTTCATGTTGAACATGACCAGGAGAATCACAATTCTTCATTTCCCCATTTCTGCCATCTTTTAAGCAAGAAAAAGTAGGGAGACTGAACTAAAATGCTTGAAAAGGCTAGAATGTACTTGTTTTTTGTGGAATCTTTTTGAGATTTTTTTTATAATATTTTTTCCCTTCTAATTACAAAAATTATCTTAGACTGAAGAAAACAAATACTTGTTGGGGAAAAATGCATTTCTCTGTAAAGGAGCAGCCCAAGGCTTATGTACTTTTCAAAATTCTCCCTCCAGCTCTTTCAGATAGTGCTTAGATTGGTGCATAGGTTTTGGGTAGACTACATAGAGTGCAAACAACTTAGAATGAACATTAATTTACAATTCACATCATAAGGTGTTTTTTTTTTAAAGAAGTAAGACTCACCTTTTCCTCAAAATTGTGCTCTTTTTATAATGGCTTGGATTTTTTTTGTCCTTTGGTGTAGTCCCTTGTTCTCTTCCTTTCAGAGTTCTCAGAGTACAGTGCCATATCCTTGCTTGTTAAGCTAATCAGCAGTGAGGGAAGTGGAAACAGAGGTTGGTAACTACCATCAGACCATCTCATGAACATCTTGCTCAGTGCTTTTCAGTCACCAGTTCAGTTATGAACACAGTCTTTAATTGGAACAATAGACTTCTCAATCTCACTGTAAATATTGCCACCTTGGATAAGCAGGTGCAGTATAAAAAAAAAAATCCCATTAAATCCACAGCAACATGCTGTACTGCCAAATGAGAGCTTGTTGGGTTTGCCTGTTTTTCTGCAGTTGTTTTAATTCCTTGGTCCTCTTCAGAGTTAGAAGAAGAGGTCAAACTTGGAAGCAATGGTAGCATTGGTTCTTGCACAGACATATGCTTAATGGAAGCTCAAATCAATGGGCTGATTTTTTTTTTTAATTGCAGTATAAATTATATTTTCTTTTATAATGCCAATTAGTGCTTAGGGACACAAAATGCACAGTATGAGTTCTGTGCAGTTCAAGTGTAATGCATTAATTTAAGCAAAGCCAACAACTGCAAATACATACTTTACACTAACAGCCTTCACAGTGTGAGGCTCAAATGTAAAGCTGACTTGCCAGATAGAGAGTCAGCAGGTACAGACGAGAGTCAGAAATGACCAACCTCTGCAGTATGGCTTCCATACGTCTTTCAGTCTCATTTTCAAATGCGAGAAATGGCAGGGGGGAGCTGGTAAGTTTTTAAACTTTGAGGAGAAACTAGCATAATCTGCAATGAGAAAAAGAGAAGAAGGGAGGGAGACAGCAAAGCCAGCAGCATGCAAAACCACCTCCTGCAACTGAGTAAAAAATAGCTGATAAATGTTAAGTCAAAGTTGGCTAAAAATAACCTCACAGACTCTGTGAGGTCCTGTTGAAGGGCCATACTTGAGGTACTGCGTTTGCCTTAACAAAACCACACCCCCATTCTTTTTGTTTTGCCAACATTATTACACATTAAATATTTTAATTTGCTATGATTAATTTATTAGTAGTAGCAATAAAACACTACCTATGACTACCGTTGCTTGGTTTTTGACAGTCCCACCTGCCTAACTTCTAGGAAGATACAAATGTCTTTTAAAAGCTACTGACTGTTTTTTATGCAGAGAAATGCCAAGACACTATAAAGTTTTAAGTGATACATTTAAGGGATGCTTTAAGGGCTATGTCTGCATGTGGGCAACCAGGAGAGCCCTTTATGTTCTCTCTAGCAATGGCTCACAGCCAGTTACTAGCCTTGGCCATTGCTTTCCATCAAAGTGTATATAATTTCAAGAGTTGGGTTAACACAATTTAAATACAAGAGGTAAACAAAGGTATATTGGGAGCCTTAAAAATCGCTTCAGTGTCACTCACTTCCTTAAGCAAAATAAAACCTGTCAGCCTTGAAGATTCAGCGCAGCCTGGGGAAGAGGGGGGGCTTTATTCTTTTCTGCATCATTAAATAAATCAACTAAATCCCAGCAAGGAGGGTGGTTTGTGTAGTCTCAGTGCTTTAAAACAGTAGTCAACTCCACAAAGGGACTGACTTTGTTTATACCCTTTGCCCATGTGCTTTCTCATGCAAAACACATATGCGGCCCTCCAGGTGTAGGTTGGAGCGCAGGCTGTCCCCTTTCCAAGGACAACCCCTCTTCCCAGACCAGGGGCAGGTTCTTCTCTCTCATTCTCTCGCTCTCCTCCTGGCCTGCGCGGAGCCTTCCTCGGCTGCGCAGGAGCCCAGCTTCAGCCAAGTTTACGGTGCAGGGGGGAAATGGGAGATCGGAAAAAGCAGCTTCTCGGTTTCTTTAGGTAGCTACCCATGCACATGTATATTGTGCTTAAGGCCACGTCTGCCTCTCCCTCAACACAGGCAGCGGATCTGCCGACAGGAGAAGCAGAGGGGACGTGTCTCCATCGCTCCGGTTCTTCGTGTAGGCAGCGGCCGCTTGCCATTGCCTAGCTGACAGGCAAAGCTACCTCTGCAGGCTGAAATGGAGGTGGCACAGGCCTCTGTCGTGTCCCCACGCTGCCCCCTCAGCAGCTGGTGAGCGCTGGGCTCTGCTGCTGGCCCCAGCCGCTGGGGCCTCTGCTCCTGCCCCCAGCCGCTGCCCGTCGGAAGGAAAGCGGCGGCGGCAGGACTGCGGTGCCCAGGCAGCACAGGCAAGTCACCACATCCATGGGCGGCCTAAGGTACCTACGGCAGCGAAGCGGAAGGTGCTGGCTGTGACAGTGGGGAAGGGGCATTTGCACAGGGATGGGTTCTTGAGTGTGGGCACCTCAGGTCTGGTGTGGTTGTGCTTCAGGCAGCCGCGGTCTGTTTGGATCTGGCTCTCGGCACCATGAAGCCAAGGCCGTAGAAGGTTAACGGCACTGCTGATGGTATTACTGCTGACTGATGGTACTGATGATGCAAAGGGAAAACGTCAGGACTTTGCAAGTCGCTTTCCCAGGAGCGGTGCAATCGATGATGAGGAATGTTGTATTTATTCTAAATTTAGACTGTCTTGCTGCTCAGGCAGCTTCCTTCGCAAGGCTCACTGCGCACCTTCCCTTCCTGTGCGTGACTATTCCCTGTTCCACAGAGTTGCCGTAGATCACCAAGAGTCGATAGAAATAATTCCTTTTAGAAGGGATTTCAATTTCTTGTGCTTTGGAGAATAAGAGCTTTAATATAGAGGCTAAGCGAGACCTGATGTGGGAGATGGGCAGGTTATTTTTTGTTTGTGTGCTGTGGTCTTCGTTACTCCTTACCCCGAAGTACACTGGAGCATCACAGCTTGGGTGAGCGTTAGATAGACCTCAAGAGCAGCCAAGCCCGACTGTGCCCACAGATCGGTGGCATGAATCCTATCAAATTCTACAGCATGAAACTCACAGCGCTGACATTCAGACACGGTGCTCAGTTTGAAGGACTGATGTTTCAGTAATCTTACAGAAAAAAGAAGCAAAAATGACCATATTTTGTAAGAAAATTCTTCT